AAGAAGTCGATGGCAGCGACCAGGGAAGCCTTCAACACGTGGACGAGCAAGCGAGCCTCCCGGAAGGAGCAGCTACGGCTGTGGATTTTGCGCAACACGATGAATTTTTTGAGGAAATGGTTGGGCGGGCACGCTCAGGCGTGAGAGGGGAGGGTACGTATCTATATGTCGCGGTGTGTTGTAGTGTTGGTTTCTCGCGTTTAGGCGCGGTAGAGGCGTTCGTCATGGTCACCAGCTCAACGCTATAGCTGTCTCTCTTGGTATCGGACTTGCTTAGAGAGAACGGATGTGATTGCTGCATGCTTTGTTTGCAGCACCTTCACCAGCCAGGGGTTGAGTAGAAAGTAACCGGCGGTATTGTATGTATGTACATATGTAACGTGTAAATAATGTAAATATGGATTGACAACGGTTTATTTAACTGATGTTCTGAAGGCATATACGTGTAGAAGGGAGGGGTTGAGGGGGGGTCGTGGTGTACTTTGGGGGCTCCGTGGGGTCATGAGGGGGTGGGGGGTGGGGGCTCCGTGGGTCATTTTGGTCAACATGTCGCATTTCACCCAATCACCAAAAACTCATCGGATATCGACGAAGCTCGACGCCGCGGTCACGCCCAAAGTTGTTTCACTTTCCAAATCGTGTTTTTTCGAAAGATATCGCGAAAAACAAGATTGTGAATATTTGCCCGAACGGACCATATGCGAAGGTGTACCGATTCAGGTAAAAGTCAATCGACGGATACCCTGCGAATCGGGTCCTCCTTAACAATATGCATCTAGACTACGATCGATCACCTTTCGTTCCTGTTCTTGATAATTTTTCTGAAACCTGTGCGACCGACAGAAAAGTATCCAACCACACAATTAACCGTCTTAGAACTTTTCGATGGGTGGCAATGCTAAATGGAAAATGTGTAAATAGCCATGTTGAGGTGCAACCTGGCGATCTCGAGTAGATGTTGGAAGGTGCTCGGAGCCCTCGGTTGAACTTATAAGCTAGTTGTGTATAATAGTGCTACACCCTCTCGATACGAATCAACGTAGAAAGAAAGTCAGTAGATGCTTAGGACATGTATTCCACGCATCCCCGTGGAAATCCGGACGCCACCACCCCTCCTTCGCCCTCGTTCGTGGTAAATCTAGCTGGTTGCGAGGTTCCAAGGCGGTGAGATCGCGCGATCTTTTGCCTATTCCACCGCATTCTAAAGGGGTTTCAACAGGGGATGCGCTCCCGTTGGAAGCGTGTTTTTATGCGGCGTGTTCTCGCGTGTTCTCGCGTGTGCGATTCCGCGATTCCGCACGTGTCCTGCCGCGGATGCAGGCGGTACACATGAGACCCCGATGACACAGCAGTGGCGGCAGCTGAGCGGCGGCAAAATGAAAGGTTCAACAACTGGACCGCCCACCGCGCCTCTCGTAGACAGGTTTCTGCAATCAACTGTTAGGTTCATCGCAGTTTCCCACGCAGAAAAATTGGCGGTGCTACCCTAAATTGCGATCTATTTTGGACACTGAATTGCGAGGTCGCTGCTCCTCATCATTGGAAACGACCTTGATGCGATCTTGGCAGCAGCAATGGCATCCTCTCCGAGCGTCTATCATCAAGGCAAGCACAACCCGTTCACCCAGCGATTTCGCAAGATTGATGCAATTCGCACTGCTCTTCGAACGGCAGTCGCCGAAGAACTCGCTCAGCAGACCGAAGAGAGGCGACGGGAGACACACAGGGTCAACGCCGAAAACAAGAGGAGATCGGCGACCGCGGCTGCTGCAGCGTTGGACGGCAAAACGGACAGCAGCGGCATTTTTCCTGGCAGGGACAGCGATGGGTACGGTTCTGAAGTCTCAATCTCGGTGCCGTGCAGGCTGGGATGCGACGGAACAGCCAGCAGGACCCGTTCCGCCGGTAGCAGTGGCGGCCGGGCTGTCTCACGGCCCCGTGACAGACTGGTAGAGCTTCTTAGCACCGCTGCGTGTGTTAAACAAGCATCCGCCAGCCCGGACAAGGCCTTCGGTTGGAGAGTTGACAGCGGCGACGGTCCGGAGGGAGAGCAAGAGGGTGCCTCGGGTGTTGCTAGCACCTGCGGGGGTCGTCGTGATGGCCATGACCGAGGACCGACACCTCCCCCAGCAGCGGCATCAGTATCTACCGAAAGCCAATCAGTCCTTGCTTCCGCAGGCGCTAAAGGAGGTGGTGCCAAAACGGGCGTTCGGTTTCTGGAAGACATCTTGCGTTTGGGCCCGAAAGGATCGCGTTCCAATGATGCTGGAGGGGCGCTACCGAATCCGAAACGAAAATCCCACCCGCGCCGTGGGGGTTGCAAGGGCGAGGCGAGCAGAACCCAGACCCACAAGAAGCCGCGGCAAGGAACAGGCGCGGTATCTGGGCCGTTCTCTGGACTGTCCCTTTGCGTGGTGCACCTGGGTTCGGTGACCAACAACACGATCAAGACGTTCAAGCGGGGTGTCTGCGACGGCGGAGGGCACGTATCGATGCGCTTCACGCCGGGCGATACGACCCACATTGTGGCGGACGCCTCGCTAGCCGCCTCCTGGGAGAAGCTCGACAACTACTTCAGCGGGTGGGGTGGCGTCGATGACCTTGACGATGCCGTGAACGGTGGGAGGGTGGGATTGAAGAGTGGCATGATGCCCGAGGGGGTGCCTATCGTGAGCAACGAGTGGTTGAGCGAGTGCTTGAGGCGCTCCGTGGTGGTGGCCACGGACGCGTACCGATTGATCCCGCCGCCACACCGCTCAGCACCGGTGGCAGCATCATCAGCAGCGGCGGCACGGCAGCAGCAGAGATCGAGTACACCTGACAACCAATCAATTGCAGCAGGGGGTGGCATCCTTCCTGCTGCTGCTGCTGCTGCTGCCGCCGCCGCAGGCCACATCGGATTGGCTTCGAGCACCCGTCTAACAGCAGCGAGAAACGAGGTGCGAGGAGGCAGCACCCAGGGGACGGCAGGGCAAAGCACCGTGGCGGCAGATCTGGAGTCGATGGCAGTGAAGGGTGGCTTCGGCGCCAGGAACCCCGACGTCGGCAAAAAGAGGCACACATTCCACTGCCAATCGACCACCAACTCCCGGGGCCATGTGAGACAGCCGGACTTAAACGTGCTTGCATGCCCTCTCTCGGTAGGTGCAACACACCAGGTTAAATCTTGTCAGGTGTACTACATCATTAGTCTCAAAATATATGGGCGGTGATGGTGCTGATTGATGTAAAACTTGTACGTTGTCGTCCACTTTTACGTTATGAACGCTTGTCTCTCGTGTGTACCTTCTCTCCTTTCGGCAGGCAGTAAACAGTGAGGCCGCCGATATGCTGGAAGACCTGGCCAAGCTATGCGCCGTCCGTGGCGGCGACGGGAGCGTTTTCAAAGAGAGAGGTTTCAAGAACGCGGCGGGAGTGCTCAAGAGGCTTGGGGTGCAAATCACCAACATCCAGCAGCTCAAGGTGTGAAATGGGTTGTTGTTAAATCTGAGTGATGTTCAAACCTTCACACCAATAGATTAGGTAGATAGGAGGCGACCTTCCGTGGTTGCACAATGCCTGTCGAACTAGTGCCGAAGCGCGTTCATCAGGAAGATGGCGAGAAATAGATTCTGTCATGAAATATATGGAAGGTGTCTCAATGATGATCGTATTCGCGGGGACAACGCAAGAGCCGGGGGAGCTTTTTGTTTGTCGTGTGTTGTGTTATTGATGTTTCTCTCTCCGTCCAAGTTGCCATTGGTCGTTGTTGCTCATGTGTTGTTCGTATAAGCATCGGCCGCGCCAGACAGTTAAGCGATTAAGATACGCCGGAAATTCCGAAGGAAATTATGTGTGTCCAAGGAGATCACCCCTCGATGAAGTCGCCGCTGTGAGTTCCTGCCGGCCGCATTGTGTATGATGTTGCAAGTCTCGGAACCATCAGCAGAGGGGGACGCAACCACGGCGCGTGACACACATAGTGCTGTGGTCGGGACGAGCTTGACGCCAATCTTCGATCAAATGATTGGATTTGAACTTTTGCTCGTTTTATGTGATATTCAGCAGGTTCGCTTTGTACATCTGGCGCCTGTTCAGCGTCTGATTCTGGCGCTATGAACTCACCTACATGGCTGTCCAACAATGCATCGTTGTTGTGTTTTGTGCTCGTTCTGTTGTGCTTTCTTCGTAGGACTTGAGAAAACACGAGCCCCAGCGTGTCAGGGGTCTCGGGGACAGCGTGATGAAGGAGCTTGCGACCTTCTACGAAGAGGGCAGGATGTATCGCCTCGACGAGCTGGAGGCGGACCCCAAGCTCAAGTGTCTCAAGATCTTCCAGGAGGTCGGCTGGGTGGGCGCCGTCAAGGCGCAGCAGCTGTACGATCAGGGCATACGCTCAATCGAAGACCTCAGGACCAAGGGGCTGCACCTTCTAAGCGAGCAAGCACAGATCTGTCTCAACAGGTGTAGATGTGTGGCTTCGTTCGACTGGACAAAAACAACTACTCTCACAAGAACAGCTAGCGGTCAATGGACGTGTGGACGTGGCTCAGTCGCAGTAGTGCTGGGTGCCTCGAAAGGGGGCGAGGGAAGGACGGAGTGAGAGCTGGCTTTCCCATCAGATGATGATGTTTCGTTTGTCCTCCCAGAAAGTGGATAAAAAAAGAATGACGTTTTGGGTCGTGTGTCTCCTGTTGTATCCGTTTGTACGGCGGCTATCAGGGGGGGTGTTGCCAAAGGTCTTCCAACACAACACATGATGTACCCTTCGGAGTTCCACCGCAGACGGGAAGAGCTGTTTTTACCCATCGTCTTTCCCGCCCGTTTTTGGGAGACATGTTGTATACCGTACGCTGCCCGCGGTGAGGAATCGGAGCGAATGCGGACAGCGATTGGTGCCTATAACCTCGCCGAACATCCTGAAAGCTGATGCAACCGTGGATGACAGCTAAGACATGGATGCGTTGTTTTAGCGAGAAGTATCGATACCATCTGCCTGTTCTGTGTACGCAGCAATACACCTGTGCCTTCTTTATAGCTCGTTGCTCTATACCAACCTACAAGGCCTGAATCACTCTCTTCGTTTAGCAACCCGCGAGACGATATTTGATTTTTCACCCATCCATCCATCCTGTCCCCTCATCTTGCTTTGGCCACCTTTTCGTTCGTCCCCCCGCCCGCTCTCATGTTCCTCGGGCCTAACGCAGGCACGAAGACATAACGCAGCGCATGCCGCGGTCCGAGGCCGCGGAGATCGAAGCGGTGGTAACGAGGGTTGCCCAGAGCATCTGCCCGGGAGTCATCTGCCAGGCAAGTTTCTCACCCTCAGATGGGGTTTTTCAGTATGAAAATCTCGGGTTACGAGACCCTCGTTACACCGCGTTTTTTTATTGCAGAACGATTTCTGGTGTATGAGCATAAGTGCTTGCATGGGGAATTGGCAAGGGCGAATCAAACGCAGCATTGGATTGGAGGAAACCGTTAAGCTGAGAACAGCGAAGGAGTGGGGGTAGAGAAAGAGAGCGGAAAGTACGGGGTGGTACCAGTGGTAGCTGGTGGCGACAGTCTGTTGCTGCGCTTTCCTAATTTGTATTCTTCTGTCTTGGTGTGTTTGTCCTGCAGGCGTGTGGAAGCTACCGAAGGGGGAAAAGCCACTGCGGAGATGTGGACGTGCTCATTCGCCCTCCCGAGGGGCAAGAGGTGAGAAAATGTGTCCGGCCTGTTCGTAGCTCGTCCTCCAGTGACGGCGATTTCGATGATGATGGCGATGGCGGTGTGGTGTGCTGTTTTTCTTACAACAGTTGTACCGTATTACTTGCTCGTGTGACGACGGCAAGTCTGGCCCCATTACCATCAAACACCGTGCACAGCGCTGCACGGATGTGCATCCAATGTTTCAGATGCGGGGATCGAGACTGCCTGTCGTCAGCAAAACAAGTGCCGGTGCAAAGGACAGTCATGGACTTCGGGTAGAAGAATACCGTCGATGGTTTTCTGTAGCGTTGGGAACGTGTTGGCTTCATCATGCTTTGGAGTGTTGCAGGTTGTACAGCAGTGCATTGCTGTTGACAGATGTCCCGCACTGGGGAGGTTGCTCAGTCGCAAATCGCTCGAATTTTCTCAGATCGGGGAAGAATTATAGGCAGGCTTCTATCTGCGGGGTCGGGGTCTTTCCTCTCCAACTGATGGGCGTCAAGCAAACACAATCCGTCAGCGTAGCAGTGTGGTGATGTCGAAATGGTTCACCCCACCTCGTGCCCCTTGATCTCTTCACCCTTCCGCCCCGTCGCCCTGTCCCAGAACCGTTCTCCCTCTCGTCCCCACCAACCAAACCCTTATGCGGCCGGTGTGCGTGCTTCCCAGGACTCCCCCGTGTTTGACGACCTGATCAAGAGGTTGGTGGAAACGGGTTTCATCACGGACAAGCTCACCCTCGCCGGAAGTCCCCACAAGCCTGGGAAGTCGCAGTCCTTCATGGGCATCTGCAAGCTGCCCGGCAAGGGGAGGCTCCACCGCAGAGTGGACATCAAGTTCTACCCCACGTGCGTGTTTGTTGGGAGGTGCCTTGGTGCTCATCGTGCATATGTTTTTGACTTGGTGGAAACGAGTGACTATTGTGCTAAGAATAGCTGAGTCGATGCCATCAAACACGCCGCCACAGGTGACGCTTGAGATGTGGTGTGATTGATGTACTTTCGATGGCGGTTATGGTGGTCAAGCTCCCGATGGGTGGCTGTCTCCACGGTGGTGGTGCAGGTTACTGCTTATGCTTGTGGCCGTCACATTGAGGATGACGGTGGCGGTGGCGTGGCGTTGTGAAATGAAGGATGCCTTGTGTGCTCGTCGGAGTGTATCCACTTGTAACAGAGAATGCGGGCAGAAACGTGCATGAGTTTCTATTGCTGAAGCAAGCTGACAAACGTGACAAAGTTGACTTGGGACCGTGGAACATGCTAGCGATACGGGCAAGTGGACACGAAATGACGAGAGTACACGGGCATTTCACATCTTAGCAAATGAGTCTTTCTCATTAGAAATGCGCAGCCGGTGGGATCAAATGCCAGAGTAACCATGATCCACGTGTCTCCCTCTCCGCTCCTCCCTAGCTGTATATCTGTGCCGTCCGAGCAATTGTCTGAGCCCAACGTGCCGAAGCCCGACTTTGCCAGCACGCAGGCATTCACACGGTTCATCGGATGTGACTCATCTTTACTCGGTTTACGGCACGCCTGAGGACGCTTTGAAACGCCAGCCTGGTTGCCGAAAAACAGACGTTTGCTTAGGGCCTCAAGGGTTGTGGGGGATACCCCCCTGCATCAACTAACCCCCCCGCTCCTCCCCCTTTCCCGGTGAACGCTAATTTTGCCGGGTAGATCGTTGTTCGCGTTCGCGGTGCTGTACTTCACCGGGTCGAGCCACTTCAACAGGAGCATGCGCAGCTTTGCCAAGATCAAGGGGCTGAAGCTTAGCGACAAGGGGCTGTGCAGGGTCAACACGGTCAACGGCGAGGAGGTGCACAGGTTCCCGAGCTACAGGTGTGGCCTATTTCATGGCGTACGGCGTTTATGTGGTTGCTGCGGCTGCGCTGGTAACATTTTCAATTGCAGCACAGGGAGAAGCAAGCCAACTTCGTAGTTGCTGCTGAAGAACTGATGGATGTTTCAGTTGCAGCACAGGGAGAAAGCAAGGCGCGTTCGTTTCGGGTGTTCCCGCCCCAAGAGAATCATGAATCTGCTGACGTGCGGTTGTCGTCCACTGTCTCGCGGGGATGGTAGACCGACCGTGAGAGCGCGCCTCTCTCAAGCCGTTTGTCCTCGATCTACCGGCCGCCCGCCTAACGTCAACCCAGATATGCTTCTCACGTTGCTGCTGCGTCAGCCATGACCGCTCCCCCCTTCCGAGTGTTTTCCGCACTCTTGGAGAAGTTCCCCTCGCGTTGGCTGTAGCACGGTGCGATTTTCATAGACCCGCACATTGGACACCAGGATTGAACGATGCATTTTCTTGGGACATGACTGTGCCAGAGGTCTGGAGCACGTAGGAGGTGCTGTTGAAGTAGACTGCAGATGACGGCGGCAAAAGGAGTACAAGAGTACGGTTGTCCGAGAGCAATGTGTACTACAGAATCCCGGGATACAAGCTACCAAAGTGTCCACTCAAGGATAAGGAGAGGCGCAAGGGGGCTCGAGGGGAAAAGTACAGAATCGCGAAATGCCCGACAGCCAGTCAGGTCGACAAGACCAAAAAGGAAGCAGCTAATGGACATCGTGGAATGGCATGGAATAGCGTGGTCGGGTCAATGTGACAAGAGATAGGAGGAAACCAGAGAGAAGCGTTGCCCGAGAAACAGAGGGGTCTATCGAAAAGCTCACAAGAACGCATGAGAAGAAAAGCAGCTCAAAGTGTAGAGATGAGCAGCCAGTTACTCTTGGAGATATGCGGAACGTTGCTAAAATGCACAAGAATCAAGTCGTGTCTACGTTGGACTACTACTATTTCAAAAATCTACCGCTTCCATTTCAAAATCTGACTTTGAAATTGGACCTGCGGGACCTAGATTGCCAGTAGGGAGGGGAGGGTATACCAGAAGTAGCGCGGAGGAGGAATAGTAGAAGTCGCATCGCTGGGGAATGTGAGCTAGAAACGGAAGGGACTCCCTTGAGATGAGGGAGATGGGTGGCTTTAGTTTGGAGAATTTGACAGTAGCGATAACCGCGACTACTATGGGAGGTAAAGCGTGGCGTTTGGGATGAACACAATGTTCAGAGCGCCCGAACGTGGGTGCTCTACAGTAGTTTAAAGGAACGGCGGTCCGTCGCAAAAGAGAAGCGTGGCAAACGGATTACGTTGCCCCGTTTTCCAAAGAAATTGGCAGATCCATGTAGCGAGCAACAGATGGATGCCTTCACTTAACAAGGAGCGTCCCCCCCTCCCCCCCCCCCGCGCGCGAATATCGCTGTGTTTCACATCATCAGCTGCCTTCGAGAAGAAGATGTATTCACTGCCCTGGGGCTGGAGTGGAGGGAGCCAAAAGATAGGGACGGAGTCCAGGTGCAAGCCTTCTGCAGCAAGGGAGAAGGAGGAGCGACGGAGCTGTCGGGACGGGTGGTTCCGGTGACGCTCGAGCAGGAACAGCAGCACCAGGCGCTTCTTGAGCAGGATAGGTTAGAGGTACGTGTGATACATGCTTGACATGCTTCTATCCGAACACCCGAAAATAATGCAATACTTACACCAAACTGATCCGCTCCCAGGAAGATAACACCTTGGGAAAATTCGAAAATGTGCCCATGCAAAATGTGGCGCATGTCGTCGATAATGGCAACGATAGGGTGCCCGAAATGCCGCAATACTGATTCCCTCTTTTTTTCGTATTGGGCTTTGAGACGGATCTATGGTCATGATGATGGTGATGGTGAATCGGAACAATTCAGGCGAGCGACTACGAGGACGCGGAGCTGCAGCAGCAGGAGTAAATATTTCACCACAAGACGGAGGCGCACTTCCACAAGAAGATCCATCAATCGATCTACCGCCGTAGCAAGGGTGGCTCTGACCCGGGGATGGGTTAACGGCAGCGGTGGCGGTTGCGGTGGCGAAGGATGCAACTAACTATCGGAAATACACGAGGTGCAGGTGGCCCTTCGTGGGAGCGATGTTGACACCGCTGCAGGCAGGCGGTGCTGCGAGGGGTGCGCGGGAAGGACAGTGCGGGAAACGTGGCCGCCGGCACTGGCAGATTTTGCGGCGGTTTTGCTGCTGCTGCTTTTGCTGCTGCTGCGAGGCTACGGTTTTGCTATTTCAGAAAATACAAAAATATACGAATGCGGAGGATCAAAAGAATGTGATAGCGTTTCTGAGATCAGTTTCCGTTTGAGATAGACCGTAATGAGGTCGAACTACCCTTCCAGTATGATGTTCAGCATGATGTATATACTTTGAAGGACAGGGACTGTACAAAACGTCATGTACGGATGCTTTGGTTTGATGCTTACTGTACCAGTTACGAAGCATAACTTGACTGGTTGGTCTTAGAGACGTGTTTCCGTTTAGGACGGACCGTCAGGAGGTGTAATAACCCGGGTCACTTAGCGAAGTACGTGGTGGTTGCTGGACGGTCCAAGGCCGTTTGAGACAAAAAATATTTCGCTCAAGGTGTATAGTCTAGGTCGGGTGGAATGGGTTTGAGACCACAATAATCCTATTCGTTTGGCACTGGAATGGGTAGCCGTCCCCTTTGAGACGGGATCCATGAGACGGCACGTAATTTTAGCGGGGGGGAGGTTGCTGCCCGAACTGATTGAGTGGAGTGGTGTCATCCAGGTTCCTCTCGAAGGAAACGCGCATCTTTGATGCTGCTGTTATTGTACAGAACGGGGACAGGGATACAGATAGCGCCCGGAGATGAGAAACATCAATCTTCGGGTCGAGCAATAATTCCTTTGGCAGAAGGACCAGCCGAAGTCGGCCAATTTCTCTAAGCGGATTTCTTTTTTCTTGGGGCTGTCGCATCCTGCCCTGTCGCATCCGTCTGATTCTCGTGTTTTTGGTGAGGGAAACAACAACTCACCAAGCCTTCATGCAGCACTAAGCCGACAGCTCGGTGTGGCGAACATTGGGGGTTGTGGTAGTACAGTACAGCAGCAGTGGGTAGCGCAGCCCGCGGCGGCGCTGGGGCGCGGGGGGCGTCGCGAAGATAACCATTCTCCCCCCTACCAAAAAACATTATGTGAGCTCGGTATGGGGTGGGAGCATGGCAGCAGCAGTAGTGCGACGTTTCTTATTCGACACGCCTCTACCCTTGTTTCTTATGCCTTGGGGGTGTCGCACGATCATGTTTCTTACTGGGACGTTTCTTATGGTGTGGCCGAGATTGAGCTGTGTATCATTGCCCTTCTTTCTTGTTCTTCGAAAACACCTTTTTTTTCGTATAGAAATTTTCTTGACTGAGGGCCCCTTCTACACTCCCATTGAACTACTCTAGAGGCACGCTCACATTTTCACGAACAAGTTCTGAAGCTCCAGTCCCACCTCTTCTGCAGAAACTATTTTGTATCGCAGTGTTGACATGTTATTCCGATCCCCCCAACCTTGCCCATCGACCGGGTCTCAAAAGCCGACCTCGATCTACGGCGCACGTCTAGCGACATCTCGAGTATGCCTCGGTAGGGCATCAAACATTATCATCATGGATGGCCCCTCCGCAAGTTTCATCGACCTTTCGGGCAAATTAGTAGCGTATACGCCATACTCTATGTGTGCGCCGACGCAGAAGTGCAGCGCGTACTCGTCGGGGTTCCCCCGGACTTCGTAACCACGTCTCTACATAAAAATCGCTTGTTTTTTATGGCAATCTTTCTTTGCTATGGTCACCAGTCTACTGGCAGCCTGTTCCAGCACAACGGGGTGCGACGCGAACCGTGATGGGCAACGCCGCATGGGGACACCGAGAACACAATGATCCAGTCCACCGTGAGAGCAACACACTGCACCGCAATGCACCGCAAGTGCACCGCCGCATTTATTTGCTCTCTCACACCTGACCGCGGGTCTGGCGACTTTGCCTTGCGGTCGCCTATCTGCCCTTTCTTGACCAACCTTGTGTCCATTGAAAGTTGAACCTCAGATCGAGGCGGCAATCTTATCTACTACTGCTGTAGGAAAGTGGTTGATAAACAGCCAGCCGCGGTACTGCAATCAATCGCGTTTTGACCGGTGACGCAGACTCATGACCTACATATATACGACGTATATTTTTGCCCGAAGGCTGCCTACTACTGTAGTCTAGTCTAATCTATTATAGATTGATACATACGGAGTAATAGTATAGGCAGTGAGCCGATGTAGTTTTTTCCCCCGCGCCATTCGCATTCACTCCTTATTACAATACTGCTGTACACGATCATGTACCCGGAGCACAGAATATCCACGCCAGCGGAGACAGAGAAGAGAGACAGATCCATGCAAAGATATGTGAACTGACCACACTGAACATGTGACGCCAAGCAAGACATTGGTATATGACAAAAAAGNTTCATTTCGCTCCCCCGCAACCACCGGGACGCGGCCGACTGCTGTGCTGGCTGGGTTAGCTAACACCACCAAGAGGGAGACCCTTCGCCAGGGTAGAGCGGATTCCATTCACGGTGAGTCTTGATGTGGTGCCCGCGGGAGGGCGGCAACCCCGGGGATGCGGCCTGCCGAATGTCGACTACCCTCCGCGCCGCAGACCAGTCCGTCTAGCGCAAGAGGGGCAAAAGTGCACCTCTTGCGTGCCGTCAGTGCAGGTTTCTGTTTTTCTTGGGTAGAAATCCGTTTTGAATTTAGACCTGTGTACGCAGAGTTGTCTCCAAAAATGCGGACCAGAAGCTCACCGCCTTGCGAGGACCCTGGGACCCCACCAGCAGCAGCGTTTTGAAACAATCTTAATTTTAATACAAGCTGCGAAAAAACACAAAAGCAGCACAGCGCACAATCACGTCCTTCACTCACCCACCCCAGTGCCTCACTGCGCAGAGTCCTTCACCCACCCACCCCAGTGCCTCACTGCGCAAAGTGACTGTGGGGGTGACCATGCCAGACTTGGTAATTGCTTAATGTCGCCGGGTGCGTACTTTTTGGCTGTTGGATAGCGGAGGCGACGGTGTTTTTCAAATGGAAGACGGCCTCTCCAATTGCGCCGCTTCTCCTCTTTCGTCGGCGCTGCCAGCCGTCGTGCTGTATCGCCGGCTTTCGCGGCGGGTTGAGGCGGACGGATGGTCTCCTAGATAGTCGTCCGAGCTCCATCGACAAAATGAGCACCGACTATTCCCGCGTTCACACATTTTTTTCTTAACTTTAACGTGGCGTTTTTGGTCCGCGCAGAGAGAGAGTTGCGGCTCGGCTCCATGGACTTCAGTGAGCTACGGTACACTATGGGGCCACTTGAGAATGACGAAGGAGTGCACTCGCCTGTCAGGCGAACGAAGATGTTCCTGGTAAGAATATTTGCCCGGAAGAACGGAGAAAAGAAAAAAATGGATGTGAAACGTCGTGTTGTCTGTAGTGTCAAGTTGGCACGAATCCGGTTTGCCGACAGTACCACGCCCCCGTCTCTGTCGAGCGTAGACTCGCCCATTCCACCACTTCTGCCTCAGCTCTTCACATCCAGTGTTGCATACTATATTGTAGTTGTCGATACATTGGGATCCTCTCAGACTGATATTTCGTTACATTCTCGTCGCGCCATCTCGAACGCTCTCCCCTGATGTGTCGCACACTGATGGCAGGCGGAGGACGAAGGGGAGGACAGCGACGACGAAGAAGCACCACGCCAGATGCCTCGACGTTTGGGGGAAGGTATGTTGAAGCCCGAGGATGGATCCGAACGAGTACTATTTGGGTAGTGTTACTTCAGTTCTGTTGGGTCCTCCATTCGCTTCTTACCACGTCTCGTGGCAAACGTCAAATCTCAACTGCAGCGCTCTTGGGTGATGTTACAAGCAGAGTTTGTGCCTTGCGCTCCCTCGTTGTGCTCTCCAATGCTATCGTGTGGACAGGGCGAGGATGGGGCGCTGACGAAGAAGACAATTACGTGGACGTCGAGGATTCGGATGAAGAGTTTCACCGCGACGGGGAGAGTCTCAGCGAGTTGCATGATCGAGTCAGAGAATTTGGTGATATCCAGGTGATAACATCAGAAGTGTTTTATGTGTTTGATGGTGTCGATCGTGCGCTCAAGACAAGACATACGTCGCCATTTCCCTCTGTTTCCTTGTGGCATCAGCCGGGGTAGTTCAATGCCATTTTTCTTGTTCTTTTGAGGTTCAACATCATCGCATGGAGGCTCTGTGGGGAGTGAGATCATGAACCGATCCCTCGTTTTATGTTTGTCTGTGCCCGTGTGTTGACGATGGAGCAGGACAACACGCCCGCCAATGATGCAGCCAGGGGCATGCGGACCCTTCTCGTGGGCGGACTCCATGGGGACACAAATCGCGTGGTGGCGGCGGTGCACAAGAGAGGGGACGCCCTCTTCAATGGGCGCCTCGACTGGCTTGGGGAGCTTTGGGCGGTAGTGAAGGGTCTTCAGCCTACCGCGGACTTGATTTTAGCGCGTTGGAAGGGTCACGTGGACGGGACGGCGGCCGTGAGCCACCGTAAGGCTGACACTAAGGCGGCGACAGCGTTCACCTTGGCTCGCTTCGCTGACTGGCCAGGAAGACTGCAAGCCTGGATAGACCACCCGGATGTCCTGGAGCGCGGGTTCAAGATGTACCCAACGAAGAAGGCGTTGCACTATCTTTCCTGTATCATCAACCAGGTGGCGCAGGTGGGTTGATAGGATAGTCGGTGTTAGGTGAGGCACGCATCACTTTGACCTAGTTTGTCCACCAGGTCTGCCCTTTTTCGTGGCCGAAAGTGAAGACGTCAAAGCGTCCCTCCTTTCCCACTGTGTTCATGCGGTGGATCGTACTCAGGTATGGCACGCAGAACATTGTTTGTTTGTGGTCGGGGTGCTCGGACGTTTAAGTTTTGGGGAGGAGCGAACACCGCATTATCTGGGTTTGTGGAGAATACAGCCATTCGTTTGCTTAGCGCCTCGTTTGTTTGGACTCCACGGCCATGTTGCTGAGGCATGCCCCCCCCCATGGTGACGCTCGCATCCTCGAACCGCTGCTCGCCACTCTTCTCGTTGCTGCAGGAGCTATACAACTTCTTGGTGGAAGAGCGGAAGAGGGCCAACGCCATCAAGGTGTTGTACCCGAGCACCCAGTATTTAATTTCCCAGTCGCGGGGGCAGGTCCTGTACTACGTCTGCGGCTGGATGGCGAGTAGGGCTTGGACGCACCAAAGAAGGCGCAACCTTTCCCCGGACTGGTATAGGATCGTAGAGCACAACACCTACCAGTCCAGTGAGATGGCGAAGGCTCGTGACCCCATGATTGGGCAGTTCGCGGAGGTAGTCGACCGGAAGAATGACCTAAAGCACGGGCCGAGGCTCCTTTACCCGACGATGCAGTGGGTGGAGTTCGTGTTCGCTCTGGAGACGGGCGATTTCCATTTCCTGAAAGACCCGATGTACCTAGGAGCTTTTCTTTGGGACTTTCCAGCAGAGATTTTCAAGGTTGTGGGCGAGGAGGAGTATGTGAAGGATATGTGGCGGAAATGCTGCCCTCCCGGCGTTGACCACGCCGTTTTCTGGGAGTGGTTTATTTTCGTGGTCGAGAAGTAAGTATCATAACTTCCGGATGGGGGGGTACGCCAATAGCCTAACCGAGAACTCCTCTCTCAAGTTCACGAAGGCCTCGGTTGCTTTGCGGCAGAAGCTAAACGCACACACCGGCGCTAAAGGTAGGGGGGNGGGGGGGGGGGGGGGGGGGGGGGGGGGGGGGGGGGGGGGGGGGGGGGGGGGGGGGGGGGGGGGGGGGGGGGGGGGGGGGGGGGGGGGGGGGGGAGGGGGGGGGGGGGGCAGAGGCAGCCCCCGCCCACCCTCGACCAGTTGAAGGGGATGTGCAGGGAGGAGGTTAGCCTAAGGTGCACTACGAAACAGCTTGTCGTGCTAAAAAACCAAGCGGGAATTCAGAGGGGGACCAACAATTCAAGGAAAAGCGATCTCCTGGATTACCTAGACCAGTTTGTGGGTGGGTTCAAGGACGATCCGGTCGACGGGGCAGGCCCTAGCGTTGCGGGGACCGGGTCACCTATGGGTGGTGACGGGGTGCGTGGTGGTGGGAACCTGGGTGAGAGCGACGTCTCGACGGCCAGGGGGGGTGGTATCTAGCGGCGGGGGGTTGCCGACGGTTGATGTACCTGTGGAGGAGGGGCGGGACGATGTGTTCCTATCTCGACCTTTTGCTGCTATGGATTCGTCGCTATCGCTTCTGGAGGGGCCAATTGCGTCTAGGCTCGCGGTTGTTGAAGAGTCTACCGAGCCAGGAGGCGACGGTTAAGATCTCGGTGGCGTTTTAGTCTTGCTGCTTGTCTCAAGATTAGGTGCATGCAATATTTCGGGTAGACTTGTGTGTTCTTGCGTGTGTGTGCTGAACTCGGTGTCCGTTGAGGGTAAGCCCCGATCTCGCCGCGGTGATAGCAATGTCGCAGGTGCATTGTGTGTCAGCTGCACTCAAACGCACAATTTCAACACCGGCCTGATTGTGGGTAGGTTGTAAAATGTATTTTTTTTATTATTCCTCCCGTGGGCTTGGGCATTCACTGCTCGTGTTCTACGCTCACACACCGCTTCAAGCCTCGGGTACACAAAACAATGGCAAACAAAAGAAAAAAAGAAAAGAAAAGAACAACACACGCACGACAAAACACACACACACACACGCCGCCAAGTGTGTAATGTAACAGTGGGGGTCGCAATGCCGGCAAACCCTGAGCAAGGCTAACCACACTGCCAGACACAAACAAAAAAGAGGAGCGATCCCGATAACGGGAGCCTTTTTTCCTTTACTCGTATTCCATGATGTTTCGCGGGCAAATCATACCAGTACGGGCTACACAACTTCTCCTGGCAAACACGAAGAAAAATGTCAAAATAAACAACACACCAACCGCCCCGCTCACTCGTTCACGAATCTGCGTAGATCGATGGGGGCAAGAGCATGTTCCCGCGACAAAACACACACACGAGGATGAAAAAAAAAGAAGAAAAAAAAAAAACTACGATCCCTATGCACTCTCTCTGCTCGCACTGTCCTGCGGTGCACCACTCTCAACTGCACTGCCATCTGCTACTGGGGTTGCGCCGGGTGCGGCCACGCTGATGTACCACGGGGACAGAACAGCTTCGTCCGAGTCCTTCGTTCTCGCCCTAATCCTAACAGACCGCTCCCCCTCCCCTACTGGGAGCATGACCTCTGCCCGATACCCAGAAGCCACGAAGTCCCGTCCCTTCCGCGCGTTCCGGTTGTAGTTTGCACGGCAAGGTCCGTGAAGTCCACGCAAGATGTCCCCCCGTGCACCTCTTTCCTTCGCTTGCGCAGCAGTCGGGTTCCTGTGCGACCCTAAGCCCTGGCGCATGTGTCCAAAGCAGTGTTCAATGACGTCCTGTGGCGCAGACGGGGACGTTGTGGAGGCAGGAGATGCGCGGGGTGTTGAAGCTGCGAAATACACTCCCTCAGGCGGACGGGGCGCATTCAGGCCAATATCTTTAAGGCTCCATCACTACTAGGTTGTTCCTCGGCCACGAAGGGATAATGCACGAAACATACCTGGCCGCAGTTGCGCTGGTTGATGAAGTGAGGCCAGGGACGCCGGGGCGAGACCTTGAACCTCGAGTCTTCCTCGAACAGGTATCGACACATACTGACGAAGCCGAGGATGCACACCCGGATGTCCGTCCACGAGAACTCCGTGATGAAGTGCTTCTTCCAGGTTTCGTCGCCCATCGTCGTCTTCTCCTGCAGGCTGCTCCGCCACTTGTCGAAGAACCGCACCATGTTAATGAGCTCTTCGAGCTTGGAGTCGTCGGCCGACGATATGTAGCCCGCTTCCTTGTCTAGGCCGTTCCTGCGCGCGTACTCCGACCGGCCGAAGTTTCCTGTTATTTTATTTGCATATGTGGGACGACCGGGTACGATAAACCGCGGAGTGATCAGAGTTCGCTCAATCTGGTTGGGAATGTGCTCAGCTAGTCACGCGCAACAGACCCGACCACCACATCTGCTGTTTGAGGAAGACAAGGCAATACGCTAGAACAAAGATGATGTATAACTTGCCGTTGAAGATGTCTATAAAGGCGTCCATCTTCGCCGCTAGTGCTGCGTAGCAGTCTAACTCCAGGTCGAGGGGTTTTCCCATGGTCAGGAGGTCGCGCTGGACCTTCTCGATCATACAAACGATCGTCCCCGACAGCACCTGCACCATTGAGCGCAAGAATATGAAACAATGTATCGGTTGGGATTGGCTCTTCTACGCGCCACCTTGTTCCAAGTAACATCTCACGCGACAGAGAAACGCAAGCGCTTGCACGCCACGTTATGCGACGTTCGGCGAGGGGACAAGATACAGAGCTGGGGGCAACCGGGATACACACTGACAGCGGCAACGGGGTGCGCGGGTACAACGCAACACGCTCACAAAGGTTCACCGCCGACATGAGATAACTTGAACTTGATTCGATGTTGGTACGTGGAAAGAGTCATGTTTTCCAGAGGTGGTTCGTCACCTTCGCAGAATAGCTGACGTTCATGCAGTTCCAGCTGTTCCTGTTGAAGCAGCTCGGCACGACCTTCCGGAAGGTCGTGATGGAAGCTACCTTCTCCTCCTGGCTGAGGGTGTTGCCGTCGTTCTCGACCTGGTTGTACACTCTCTCGGCGGTCGCTAGGGAGAACCGCACTAAGTCAGTATTGCCCTCCTCGTCTCCACACCACATTGCCAGCTCACGCTTCTTGCTGTCCTGGTCGCTGTGCCAGCAGGTGTTAGCGATCTTCTTGAGGATGTGGGGGGGGTCACTCATGTTGAAGATGGGACCCAGGTGGACTGGATGGGGGAAGGCGACCGGGAAACTGCCCGGGATGCGCGGGTGGTAGCCGGGCTGACTTGTCTAAGCCAACCGCCCGAAACTGCTCGGCGAACCTGACCGAATTTCTTTGCCCTAGGATCTCATACAAGGCAACCTGTCCAAGGGCGACGGGAGAGGCTATCGGTTCCACCTATCGACGATGAAGTTCTGCATCTACTACAGCGGGGTAGCGGGCACGGGAGCCTACAACGCGCTCCGGTCTGTGCTTCACCTGCCCAGCCTTTCGCACATCAGGAACCTGCGTGCAAAGGCGCGACCCACGACGAGCGGTGTGCTGGTAGACAACATCAAGGTGAGGTACTTCCACCCACTGGCTGGGCAGGTGAACCACAGACCGGAGCGCGTTGTAGGCTCCCGTGCCCGCTACCCCGCTGTAGTAGATGCAGAACTTCATCGTCGATAGGTGGAACCGATAGCCTCTCCCGTCGCCCTTGGACAGGTTGCCTTGTATGAGATCCTAGGGCAAAGAAATTCGGTCAGGTTCGCCGAGCAGTTTCGGGCGGTTGGCTTAGACAAGTCAGCCCGGCTACCACCCGCGCATCCCAGGCAGTTTGGATACATGGGGGTTTCGTTTCAATCATGAAAAACACTCTTGACGGCGAGGTGGAAAGAAGGTCGGCCAAAGGTGGACGTACGCAGTCATGGGTTCATCCTCTTCCCCTTCGTGACCCCGGTCGGTTCGTCTAGCTACTCGGATGGGGTGGGGGACGGCGGGTCAGACGACAGAATCCAATCATGGGCGAAAAATCAAAGTAAGAAATACATCAAATACAAACAAAAAACAAACAATAAGAACGCACATTCAGCAAGGCCCGCTGCTCGCTCTTCGGTGGGAGCTTCTTGTCGAGGAGTTCCCTCGTCTCCTGGTCGATGAGGAACTTGTGGACCGCGTCCCCTTGATCCTTCGGGAACTCAATGCACTCCTCCCGGTACTGCTTCACCTTCCGATGCCACCGCTCTGCTGGCTCGTTCGCCGCCTTCATGGATGTGGCCAGCTGACTAAGCTTAGTCGTCTATTTACGAGCGAAGAGTGGCAAGGGTACACACAGAAAAAAAAACGAGCAACCACAAGCGAAGAGTCGCAAGGGTTCACGTACGGAAAGCTATGAGCACGAACGAAAAGCGAGCAACGCAAACTAAGACAGCCTTGCCCCACACTCAAGGATCCCAAAACACACAGGACTATTCATGACCGACCCACCTTCTGACCGCTGCTGAGCCGGTAGTTCGCGGTGTTCGGCTTCGGCTCTCCGGTCAAGGTCGTGATGCGTGGCTTCGCTGTATCGCGCCAGAACTTCTTGCACCTCGAACACCTCTGTCCACCACTGGCGTAGTCACTCGCCACACCAGTACAGTCCTTTGACCACAACACGTCGACGGTATGCCCGACAGTGCCGAGAACCCCAGATACACCTCCACTCCCCTTCAACACCCCACGGACGGGGGCGTTCCTCCAGCGCTCGCCCATTACGGGTACATGGTCCCCCAACAAAGCGCGCTCTGCCCCGCGCACCACACTCCCCCAGGCCTCCGCAGATCCGGTCGGCAACCTCCGTTCGTACTCCATGTGCTGTCGGGCATAGCCAAGACAAGGCAGGACAGAATCCACTATTCTGAGAACCTGCGCGACAAACGGCGAAGGCGACAGGAACAATGGAAGACGGCATATATCTCAATCCCATGAAAACATCGGCGCGAGATATGTGTTCAACAGGAATCCACCAAAAGAGGAACATATGTAAAAAAAAAAAACGTAGACCCCACTGTCCGATACGGCACGTACCCAAAAACCTCTGCCCGTAGTAGGTTCTCACCTGCTTCAGATCCTCGAGGCTGTAGATGAAACGCCCGACCGTAGATATGGCATCGTGAGAGGTGACGTCCAGGCCATTCATCGATATGTACCTGATCGATCCACGACCCTGGATATCCGGCTTCTCCACGACGACCTGCTCCATGCCGGAGTACCACAACCACCGGAACGGGTGGGTATTTGGTCAGATAGGTAGAAAGAAAGAGAAAGAGAGAGAGAGGGGG